GCTGCTTGCAAGCAACTTTAAATGTCACTTTCCTTATCACACATCTCTGAATTTCCTGCCTTTTTAATGCACTTTAACTGTTTCTTTATCATATCTGAATGTATTGATAAGCAAATACCTCATCCTTCTTAAATGAGAATTTTTGTTTACTTTTTCCCTCTGAAATGTATTCTAACTGAAATAATAAAACTTGAAGTGATAAGTAGAGCAACTCTGCAGTTGAGTGTGTGGGAAAGGAAAAGCAGTATTTTTCCTTCAGGCACATCGCCACCTAGCAGCTGTTAAACTAAAATTTGCTCATTTTTTTTTAGATAAAGAATAAAGGTAAAACCTGCACCTAAGTACTCTTGCTTTATTCCTCCACTTCCTTCTTTGAGTGTAGTGAGGTATCAGCTAATAGGTGGTGTATCATAACTTGCCTGTGTGACCTTAGGAGCTGCAAAAGATATTTTTGTCCATTCAAAAATGGAATTATACCGAGCAGTGCTATATGGTGTTTTACATCAGAGTGTGTCGTACCTCTATAAAGACTGTATTTTTTCTCTTGGTTGCAAAATCGGTCACTGTAGAAATAGTTCCTCTTTGCCGACGATGACCAAGGGTGAAATTTCAGTTGTGTCCCAGTGAGTGGCTTGCACATTGTTCTGCAGTGCTGATTCTCGTCCAGTGTGGCATGTTCTCCCACTGAAAGATGTTGCGTGGCATGGAGTGTAGGCCAAGCTAGTAAAACTGCACCAGAACCATTTTCTCAGGCTCCTCAGTGCTACTGCCTGCATGGCAGAAAAAGGAGTGAGGAGGATGAGGGGAGGGCGGTGGTGGAGGCAGAGGGCTGGCAGGGATGAGGGCAAACAGGAGTGCTCCATGGCAGCTTGCCTGAGAATGTTCTAAAGCAGCTCAGTATACATTTAAGTGCTGTAAAAGCCATATAAACTCTTACTGTCAAACCTGATAAGGAATTGCCATTTTTTAACTACAAAGATTCAGGTTAACAAATAATACGCAACTGTAAGGACTTATTTCTGTATTAGGTCCTATTATTGCTCAAGTAAGCTAGGACTATACATTTTTATAGTGGAAAAATTCTCTCAGCATTTAGAAACCAGTGACATGATAATGTACTACATCCATAACATGCACTGTAACTCTTTGAAAAGGTAAGTTTCTCAAGCTTTTTTTAAATCTGAAAAATGCTCTGTGCTTCTCATCAGCCGTTGGTACACCCGCATCAGTGGGGGCAGTTGGGCAGATGTTTGCTTGCAGAGTGAATCTCCTGACTGCCCTCCTTTGGTCTGCATCACAGAGTGGTCTCAGCCATAAGCTAGGTTCTGTTCAGGCGAGAAGGAGCTGGAGGAAGTGCAGCACGAGTGCCCTGATGTGCTCCAGCTGCCAAGGGACATGACCAGACAGAAAACAGGTCAGAGAAAACCCATGGAGTGTAGGTGGTTCAGTCCACTGCACTATTTTAAGTGTACCGCTGCGTTCTTCAAGGAGCAGAGTTTTTACATTTTCTTATTGTGAGAATTGTAAAAGATCAGCACAGAAATCTTGTCAAACTCCACCCCAGTGCAAGGAGTAGCTGTCAAAATACATATTTAGTCTCCTGGTTTTGACAGTGGTGATTTACCTACTCATTAGAACCAGGTTTTTGTTTTGTTTTGTTTTTTTCACGTTTGCTTTTCTTGCCTTAGAATACTTCTGTGGTAAGACATTTTTGTGTGAAGACTGAATTTGCTTTCTGTATTAAAGTGAATCTGAAGATCACTAAGAGGTTGAACCATCTTATGTGCTATAATAGATGACTATAATCACATCGAACATGATTTGGAGTCCAGGGTGATTTAGAAAGACACGTGGATTTTCGGTTACCTCTAGGGGATGCTGTTGTGTTAAAAGTTCCAGTGTTCTAAGCATTTTATATATAGATACGGGTATTTATCTGCCTTACAGAAGAAAAAGCATGCACAATCCTATAGGAAGTACTCTAGCTAATGTAAAGCAGAGATACTATAGCACATAATTCTTTTTTTTGCAGCTATCAGTATGCAGAACAGGATGAACTAACAGAGGTGCTGAGGTGATGTTAATAGCTTGTTTTTCTGTGCATGTTGCATCTAACCCAATGATGTATGGATTACTGATCTCAGGAAGGTATCTCAAACTGGTGAAGTGTTTGATGAACAGCAGTTTGAATCAAGCAGTTGGGAATTCTTTGCTGTCAAGAACAGAGTACTTCATAGTGACTCTGTCAGTATTTAAGGTTAAAGTCAGCTGGACTTGAACTTGTTGAGCTGTTTTCTTCCAAAGAAAGGTTTCCTATGAATGGATTTTGGTTTTAGAATGGTTGAGATACATTTACATTGATAATTTTTTCCCCTGTTCTTTCAGTAACATTGCCTTATTTTCAGTATAGATATTTTAACTTAGAAATTAATAAAGCTCCTAGAGTTTGATACCGCTTTAGTATTACTTAATGTGAAGCATCTAAGTTGTTCATTATGCAATATCTGACAAGTGTTAATCATAGTGTATACTGTACTGCTGAAAGCCATTCACATAATAAAGTGATCATGACTGTCTAAAATCCTGTAGACCAGTAACTACTGGTCTAATAAAGAAGACTTCATTACTAGTGTCTGGACAGCACTGCTGAGCTGTCAGTGATTTGTAGGCAATACCCAATCTTGCTTTTCCAAACAACTTGAAGAAATATGTATCTTTGAATACAGAGGGGAATTTATATTGGACTTTGAACTCTGGTGCCCTTGTGTAGCTAACACAGCACGTGCAAAGCCTGTCTTATAGACCACTGCTATAACAAAGTTTAGAATATTGCTTTCTTTTCTTCCTCATCATCTGCACTTCCCACAGAAATATAAGTATTTTAAATTGGAAAAAATAAATACTTACCTCTTATCCTTCTGAAGCATCCATAAAATGTGTTGTATTAAAGTAAATGAAGGGGTGATCTCTATATTAAAAACTGTACATATGAGAAATATTTCCGCCAAAATCTTTCGCATACTTACATAAGAAGCTTGCATTTCATGCTGAAGAAACGTGCCTCTGGTTATGTTATGTGTCTGGATCTCAGTTTATATCTTACAGGGCTAAGACTTCTCTTGATGCCTTTATTAAATGACTTGTTTAATCTGAAGCATTGGTGTGGAATATCTTTTGAATTTGAGTACGTACAACATGAGCTGCTGTGTAGAACTTGGTAGTCCCCCTGCTTAAAAATCATAATGTTCTTCTCTTTATTAAAAACGTTTATCTTTCTAAAAAGTACCACACCACTTTGGTCTGGAGAGGTGTGGTTGCAACTTTTGTGGTAACCAATCCTGTGTAGCAAAAAAACAACTGCAACCTTTTTATTAGGTACCGTCCAAGACATGTACTGTTACCTCAGCGCTCAGTACCCGTAAGTTTTGACACCTTGTTAAAGCCTTGAAGATTAATAGCACTTCCAGTTAGGACAGTGCCCCTGTTGCATCTAAATGATAAATAAAAGGCTTATTGACCACCTTCTTCCTAGCACTGCAGAATTCCTGTCAGTGAATTTGTTTCCTGCTGTATTGAGTTCAGCATTGTTAGTGGACATGGTCCTCCAACTGGAGCACACAGGTGGATAATGGACAGGACTACTTTTTGTATCTGAAATGAGGAGAAACCTTATCCGAGTTCTAGGGAATCTTCCTTGGAGATAAATTTCTTATTCCTATTTATCAGTAGTAAATTTAACTAAATTACCCAGTCTCACTGCAATATCCAGAGCATTCAAGCAGTGCTTTTCAAAATGCCTTGACAAAATGTCACTCCATGAGTTGCCTCTCTAATGTAATACCTTCCCCTTCTCTAACACAGGGGAGAAATTCCCGAGGCCGCAATGAAAGTTTGTTACCAGTTCTCACTGACTGCTCCTGTGTGTACCATTAAAATCCACCATCCCAGAGGGCAGGGATGAGTGATGTTCCAGGCCAAGGAGGGGAGAGGGAAGATTAGGACTCCATTAGCTTTTTTTGTTTGTCTTGGACCAAACTTCCTTAGTATTTCTCTTGTACCAAATCAGACTTCAGGTGCTGATCAGCTGTGGGAGATGCAAACTGATGCCTGTTAGGATAGCACACGCTCACACCCCGACAGATGTGCAGCCCTCGGAGGATGAGTCACTCGCATCTGTAGGAGCAGCGAGCGCCTTTGGGATGGGGGCTCGGACTGCGGAGGGGCAGCCCACAGCCTGAGACGAGCAGCTGCTGTCAAAATCTCCATCATGTCTGGCTGGAGCTTTAACAGCTGTTCAAAATCCAGGACATGGAATGGTGAACTGCTTTAAACAGTGTTAAAAAATCAGACGTAATGGTGTACTGATGGAATTGTAGCGGGACGTGCATGTGAGTACACGGTACCCATCTGTGTGCATACCCACTGTGCCTCATTTCTTTAATTGTCTTTATCACACCAGAGCTGCTGTTCTCTTACTGTAAAATAGCATTATTTTTCACTGGAACGACATTGGGATATGTCTGAGGCCATGCTAGGAAATTAAGTAAAAGTTTAAGAGCAAGAATTAATTTTAAACAGATGGCCTGAGCTCACTTCTCCGGCTCAGCAGCCCGACCAAAAAGCTGCTGTGGGTCGGCTCCTGTCCCATGTCCAGAGGAGGCCCCTCTGCTCCTCGGGCTGCCCCTGCTTTCCCCTGTCCTCCTCTTCTTCCTCTTCTTCTTTCTTCTTCCTTCTCTTCCTCCTCCTTTTCTTCCTCCCCCTTCCCCCCCCCCCCCCCCCCCCCCCCCCCAGCACGGCTCTGCCCGGCCCCTCAGCACAGGCCCCTTGTCCGGGCTCTGCACCGCCGCCGCCTCTTTCTTTCAAACACTCGGTGCATTTAGAGCCTGATCTTGTGCAGAAAATATCCCTGACATTTGAGGCGCTCCCGGGATTCACTGGGCATGCTCACTCCTCCCGCCTGCGAGCGAGAGGAAGCTGCTTTACATACGAGTCATACCAAGCATAGCCTGCATGTCAGTGCAGTTAACTTGCAGCGGGCTGTGAGCACTAGTGTGTCTTTGTCCTAGGAAATTTCCCTTGTTTCTGTTTTGGTTTGGTTTGTGTTGTTGTTTTTTTTTTTTTCTTCTTTTTTTTTTCCTTTTTTTTTTTTTTTTGTGTGTGTGGGTGGGTTTTTTTTGTTTGTTTGTTTTTTTTTTTTTTTTTTAATTGGAAAAAGGACTTGAAAAGTTTTGAGACAGTCTTCTTTGTATTGAAGGACACGGTATACTTTAGTTTTCAGAAGTTTGGAAGGGGGAGCGTGTGTGTTTTAACCCCTCCAACTTTCCTTTAACACTTTGTTTTGATTAGCCGAAGGCTGGGCCTTGTGCTACCGAAGTTGAGGAAGCCGGGCGCGCTCTCGGCACCATTTCCCCGGCCTCCTCCTCCCTCAGCCCGGGCGAAAGCAAACGAGCTGGTCTTTTTTGCTAGCCCGATAAATGCTATTTATGAAGATGGACCTGTTGAACTACCAATACTTGGACAAGATGAACAACAATATTGGCATTCTGTGCTACGAAGGTAATGGTTTGGTCTCACGGAGCGTCCTTTGTCGGGTGTGCTCTCGGGTGTTTGCGAGCGGGGATGTTTCCTCTCAAAAGGCAGTGGGAGACGCCTCGCAGGCTGGGTTGTTCAAGCTCTGTTGAAGGGAGGGAGTCTCTGTATTTTCATTTAGATTTTCTGTTGTGGTTTTTTTTTTTTTTTTTTTTTTTTTTTTACAACGAGCATTTTCGGTGTTAACTTTTTTTTTTTTTTTTTTTTTTTTTTCCAGAAGACACCATTAGTTGGGGTAGCATGACGGGGGCCGTTGCTGCTCGGAGTTTATATTCAGTGTTTCTGGAGCTGCGGCAGAAGCAGCAGCTTGCGGGGCGGGGGCCGGGGGGGGCCGGCTGTGAGGGCGGCCGGGGCCGGGGAGCCGGGTGTGAGGGCGGCCTGGCTGGGGGGGCGGCCGGGGAGCCGGGTGTGAGGGCGGCCTGGCTGGGGGGGCGGCCGGGGAGCCGGGTGTGAGGGCGGCCTGGCTCGGGGGGCCGGGTGTGCGGGCGGCCTGGCTGGGGGGCGGCCGGGGAGCCGGGTGTGAGGGCGGCCTGGCTCGGGGGGCCGGGTGTGCGGGCGGCGGGCCGGCCCCGGGAGCCCGGGCCGCCGTGTGCGCGGGCGGGCGGCCCCGCGGGGCTCCCGCGGCCCATTGTCCGGCTGCGCCGCCCGCCCCGCCTCCCGGGAGCCGCCCCGCGCCCGCGGGAGCTGCCGGCGGCGGGAGCGGCACCGGGGCCTCTCGGTCCGGAGGGGTTTTATCTACGTGCAGCTCGAGGAAGCGGTTATGGCCTGGCTTTGGGTGGAAGGAAAGGCACCGCTGAGCTAGTTCAGCCTGGCAGCGGGACTGTGTTTGCTGTAGCCACAGACGAGCAGGGCAGAAATCTTCCTTCTGGTTCGGCAGGAACGTTTTTCATGTTCGTTTGGAAAATAAACTTGATGCGGTTGTCAGGGAAGAAACAATAAGGAGGGTACATAGGACTAGGAGCTATCTGCTCACACTCTTAAGGAAAAGAGCAGGCCAGAAGGCAGGGAGCGGGACCTGGCGTTGGAAAACACCATCTTTTCTATCGTTAAACCAGCATGGCCACATTGCTTTCCTTCAGGAAGTGGAGGGGCTCCCTGTAGAACTGTTCATATCTCTGTTTCATTTTTTTTCTTTCTTCTTTTCTTTTTCTTTCCTGCTCAGATACGCAAATATTTGCTTGAATACCGCTCCTTTAATCAGATTGAGTTTGCTCATCTGTACTGAATGATACAGAGCTAGGATTCAACAGACTTGAATTTTCAAGCTCTTTCTTATTTTGTGCTTTCTTCGTTACAGCAAGAAAACTAGTTTAAAGAAAAAAAAAAAAAAGGAAAAACCAGCTTGCAGGATCCTTTAACTTTTTCATTGCTCTCTAGTAACCAGTGATTTCTTTGGAAGCAATTCACAACTCCTGATGAAGACCATGAAATTTTACATAAAGTTCTACTTACGTGGTACGTGTGCCTGCGTATTTTGTCAACTAAGTCAGAAAAACTGTAGTTTTGGCTCATCAGTTCACTATAATTATGCCTAATTATGGAAGATTCTTTCCAGCCCCTTTTTTCCCCACCCCCTTCTCCAGTAATTGTTATTTAACCAGATCTTAGCTTTAATAGTTCAAAAGCAAAAAAAAAACAGAAAAAAAAAAAAAAACAGCTTAAGGAATACACTCTACTGTAGCAGTCTTCGTTTAGTTTAAACATCTGTTGCTATTTTCCTTATTCTGGAAGTTAACATTTTTAACACTAAAATAAACACATGCAAAATGAAGAAAAGAAAAGCAAAGCTTCAGTGGTGTTTATAGTGAGGTGTTTATATCCCAGTGGTTTAAAAAGTATAAACACTGGCAACATCTGCACTGAGCTGGAAGGGTGTTTTGGAGATGCCTACAGATCTTCTATGCCTCTGCTACAGTATTTAGTTTCGAAGTGAGTTGTGTCAGCAGCAATGGATGTTGTCTTTTCAAAGACACTGCTGTGGTAGTAACTATATTGACAACAAAGTGCCCTTTCAATCCAAATTAGTTAGGATTTTTTGAAGGTCATACCTGAACTACTTATAAATAGATGCCTTCTTGAAAAGTACTTTTGCAGATGTGGAATAAGATACAAATACGTTGTATGACATGAAAACAGGTTTGAAATTTCAGAGGCAAGAATTATGGACCTGTATGTCACGGGAAATAAATGAGATGGGTTCCTTATTCCTTTAGATTCTCTCCTGAATCACTTGCCTTCGCTTATTGAGATAATTGGTATGCTGGTGAAATGTGTCATCGTTTTATGAGGTTTACTAGTGGTTTTAATCCTTCGCCTCTGGCACAAGCCACTGCAACTGTGTGTCATTGATTTGTAGCTGCAGCTTATGGATAAGAGATGTATTAGTACATAAGAAATGGGAAAAGTTCTTCAGTTGTGTGCATTTGGCAGCCCTTTAGTTCAACCTGGAGTAGAAGAATAGAATTTGCATCCCAAGATGAGTCCTGCTTTTTGTTGCCCAGCAAGAGTTACAGATAGCAATTTGTTACCTGTAAGCTTTAGGCTACTGAGTTAATGCCAACACCTGGTTAGTCTTCCTTGACTGGTAGGTGCAAGAAACCTCGGCTGTATCTTAATCTCCTTCTGCTCCTAAGTAGTGTTGTTGCTGGTCATGCTCCAGTGAGGATGAGAACATTTATTGACAGAGTGTAGTTTAGTTCATAAAGCATATTTCTGATTTTGGCTTACTCTGTGGAGGTCTGGGATAAAAGTATAATGGTGGCTAGTAGAGATGGGATCTGGTTCATGGACAGAAAAGTGTCCTTTTTTGGGGGGGGAAATGGGAGTTCTAGCAGTTTTCCCATTGACCTTTGAGAAAGAATGGTGTGTTGCAGATTTAGCTGACCGATTTGTAGTATGGAACCTTAACAGAAGTTGACTATTTTCTCAAACATAAGATTTTACTTATTTACTTGCTTGCTTACTTACTTACTTACTGTGAAGTTGGTCATACACTGGCACAGGTTGCCGACAGAGGTTGTAGAGTCTCTTCCATCTTCGGAGATACTCAAAACCTGACTGGACATGGCCCTCAGCAACCTGCCGTAGTTGAGCCTGGTTTTGAGCAGGAGGTTTGGACTAGATGATCTCCAGAGATCCAGCCTCAACACTTCTGTGATTCTCTAATATGATGGGAAAGTTCTGCACACTCGTGTAATTAAGGCAAAAATAGCCAGCAAAAGGATTGTAACCAGAGATGAGGTGAGAGGGTTTATGAAAGGGAATCCATAACTTTGAACCACAGAATAAAGCCATTTCCTTTCCTCAGGGTTCTTTGTTTTCTACTGACAATTCGTGTCCTTTTGAGTGTTTTCTTAATAATATTACTAGCTTTGCATTCCTTGTGATGCCGTATGATAATCTCAACCTTGATTGATGCTTTGGGAGGAAAATCTTAATTTTAACGTGGGTTTTTTTTAACAAGTTTCATTAAAAAGAACATTTGAGGTTTGTCTCCCTCTCTGGTGAAAGAAAATTTTTAAACCATTCAAATGAGAATGTTTAGTCTTTGCCAGTGGGAAGGTGACATTTACATTAGTGATGATCAACCATTTCAAGCCATTTATTACAGTATATTTGGTGCAATAAGAAAGAAAATAAGTAATAATTGGAGAATTGTTGACTCAGCATCTGGATGCTGATTTTTAGCATGAATACGTCTGATAACCTCCTACTAAACATTTGCTGCCAGTTACCAACAGTGGCCAGTTTAATGAGTAGTGCTTTCATATCAGTGTTTTCTTTCTAATGAGCTCAGAGACATCAGAAGACTCTTGGGAGACTGTTGTCCTTGCCGAGGTGCAAAGGCCATGAAGCAAAACCATTCTGTACCAGTCTGGCATTCCCAGTGCTTCGTATCAAATGACAAGCACTTGATCCGGGCATGTATTCAGAGGTAGAACATCTGCATCTTGTTTTGCAATGGAAACTCACTTAACTTTAGCTGAATATTCTTCCTCTGAGAGCCTTGTGTGTGAGGTAATGGCAGGAGGGCTCAGAGTTAAACAAAACAAATCACAGGTGATCCTGCTCTTTTGACTAGTGCAGGGGCAACCTAACAAGTTTTGGCTCCTTGTTTCCAATCGAATATGTATGAGAAGGTGCAGTCTCCAAGTAGAAGATTCGTTTCATTTTGTTGTTTATCTGAGGGAGTGGACAGATGGTCCTGTGTTGGAAGGCAGATTTCTGTCTTCCTTCCTCTCTCTCCCATTTTCAAATGCTTTGCGTTATTACTACATTCTCAAAGCTTGAACTGCTGTGCTGGGAAAGGTATAAAGAAATGCAATAAGATGCTAAGAAATCCCCCAGGCATGTTATGAGACTTGGAGCACTCAAAATAGTTATACAGAGTTCTCTGGACAGTCCAGAAGACTGGATTTTTTTTAATGAAGAAAATTGGATCCAGATTTGTAGAAAAACACCTCTTTTTTGTTTCAGGACAGCTTACATTAGTTAGTGGCTTATTACATAATTATTTCTCTGACTTCCTGTAACAATGAAGCATTAGTTGGCCACAGCACTGAACTTGCATAGCTATATATATTCTTAGAGCACTGCAAGACATGTTGAATATATGCATATCTTCCCAAAAAGGCCAGTTTAGATGTTTGATATCAAACAGGGAGCCTGAAACAGATTCTGCTAACTTCATTTGCTTTTTTAATGAAATGTAATGTGTCTTCTTAAGTTCTGAAGAATAGTTTCCATCCGTTTTCTTTGCTGACCTTGCATTTTACTCTGGGTTTGTAACATCGGTTTCTCCTATTAACTCCAAAGTTTGGTTTAGTTTCTAGCTGTATAAAATGATTTTAACACTATTCGTCTCTTAAGAATTACTGAAATAATTTCACTATTATTTATTTATCATTATTTATGGGATAAAAATCTCTTTCATGGTGAATTTAGTGTCCTTATTTGTAATGCAGCAT